TATATATATAGATATATATATATATATATATATATATATATATATATATATATATATATATATATATATATATATATATATATATATATATATATATATATATATATATATATATATATATATATATATATATATATATATATATATATATATATATATTTAAAAATGTTGTGCTGCATATATATGTTGTTTATCCAAATCTGACCAATTACACAAGGTCTTTACAACTGTATCTTTATCTCTCCAGTAACTGAACCTGGAGCTGAAAATAAACACTACTGCTGGGAGAATAGTGTGAAAAATGAAAACAGCCAATAAGAATCAGAATTTACATGAAGGTTTTCAGTCATTCATGGTGTTTTAAAGCAGTGGTGTAACGGATCACATATCTCATCACAGATCATGAGTCACGGATCGGACCATTTAAGGTCCGGAAAAAGGGAAGGAGACAAATCTCATTTGCCTTCTATTTAATACAAAAGCAATAATGCAAGAAACCTTTGATATTAACCAACATAACTTAGAACCTGTCATTTTAATGCAAATAAAAATCATGCTGTATGCATCTAAATCTGACCAATCAGATGAGGTCTTTACTACTTTATCCTTATTCCTGCCTCTTCAGTAGGTGCTGATAGCTGAAAATAAACACTAACGCTGGAAGAAAAGAGAGGAAAATAAAAACAGCCAACAAGAATTAGAATTTACACCAAGGTTTTTAATCAGTCATGGTGTTTTAAAGTTGTAGTGTAACAAATCACAAATCTCACGGTTCAGTTTTTGAGTCACAGACTATTTTTAGATTGGCAAAAAAGGGAAGAGACCAATGTCATTTGTTTCCCATTTATTACAAAAATAGCAATGCAGGAAACTTTTGGTTTTAACAAACCTAACTTAGAGACCTAGAGCCTGTAATTTTAATAAAAATAAAAATCAAGAAATAACCAGCTGAATAAAAAAAGGTTAAATATATATATAAAATATGTATAAATCTATCATTGGAATCTTGTACAACACTCTCTCTCTCTCTCTCTCTCTCTCTCTCTCTCTCT